AAGCCATTACCCTGTGAGTTTCAAATGCATGGTTTTTCATCAAAGAAAATATTTCCAATAGTTCAACAGATACCGAAAAGGCATCTCCTTCTCATTTAAAAACTTCCTTTACCTATTTACAAAAAGCTGCTTCTATCTACAAGGTCCCATATCTTTCTGATAATATATAGCATTTAAATATTTTTCAGTATGAAAATACATTGTCACAGCCACTTGCAAACTATCATCATTACCAGTTTGTTTTCATGTTTGTTTGCTGTAACTAGGATAGATTTTTATCTTTATAATTTTTTGCACATAAAAGTGAAAATGCATTTGATTCTAATGTAGTGAAATGAATAGCTTGAAATATAAGCAAGGCATTAAGACAGGAGTGAATTTTAGATGAGGATATAAAGGAATTCCTGTGCTGAATTTAAATAATAAGGTTGTTTGTATATGCATCACATATGTAAATATACCATACCTGGAAGAAAATCCTATATTGGTCATAGAAATATAGCAAAATAAGATGCTGTTATCCTGTAGTATCGGTAATTCAATTCACTTTCAGAAAGTGACACTTGGCTAAACTGTTGTGTTACACATATGAATTAAGTCCTTGAGGAAAACAAAGAATAAAAAATGTTAATTAAAATGTCAAATAGAATATTAATTATGTATATTTTAGGAAATAGAGAAACACTCCTATATTACCTCAATACCGTAATAGGAATGTGAATATATATTTTTATAGAATAAAAGGCTTGGCAAACTTCAGTCCAACACTACATCCTCCCTGTTCAGCATAGGAATCTGCTGGTCATTTTCTAACATGTAGTCATTTAGACTCCCTTTCAAAACATCTAATAAGAAAAATCCATCACTGTTCTAGGCAGATTGTTGTAATGTTTTTTACAACAACTTTTATTTTCAAATATTTTTGTTACACACAACCGGAGTCTCATTTTTTAAAATTTTAAGTACTTGCAAGTTCTGCTATTTTAGATTGTGTAGACCATTATCATATCTGCCCTCAATGTTTCCTATTGCAAGCTAAAGTTAACTGATAAGAAAGAAAAAATGTTTCCTGCCAGACATAAAAAATGATGATTAATTTAAAAAATAATAAAAATATACTTTAATTTAAATTAATGTTTTAAGTTGAAATCATATTTTAATTTTTTATTTCAATATTTTGTAAAAACAAGTGGACATAACTTAAAAGATATAATCAAGGATATACTTTCTAAGTGAGCTGTTTGTTATTATGGTATTAAGAACTACTGTAAGTTAATAGACCTGATATCTGACTTCATTCTAAAAGCACAGAATTAAATATTATTTATGGTGGTTCTCCTAGCACATAATAAAAGATTTTTTTTCCAAATATCCACAACATTTAACTGAAGTTGGGTTGACTTTACATGTATCTGCTTGATTTGCACTAAGTTCATATTCCAATTTTTAAAATGAAAATTAATGTGAAAAATAACAAATTTCTTCATATTTCATGTATCTTTTAAAAATAAAATTGTCTCTGAATTCTGAAGAAATTAAATCAGACTGTAGCAAAGAAGGAAAATGAATTCTGACAACAAATTAAAGTCATGGGTTCTTTCTGGCAGATAAATACATTGTGATTAAATACTTCTACCTTTCCAACTAGTGATTTAAATCATGATTTTTATTTAAATTATATCTACTTTGATTTCCTGTATTAGTTTATAACTCAATAATTTATTTAGGCAAATCTCTACCCAGTTAATCTAATTGACTTTTTAATCTTCAGTATTTCTAAGAGCAAACACAAAGGAACTTCCTTTTGTTCTTTCCCTCCTCTTCCTACCATATAACTCTACCTAGAAAACAGTTTGATATAGGCTGGTTGAAGATATATTAAACATAATTGGATAGAACATTGTGAGTTTAATACAGTCTGTAATCATGCTTTTTCCTTTTTCCTTTTCTCTTCTCTCTATGTTGCTTGTGCATATATTTCACTAAACCATATTTTTGTTTTTTCTTTAACATGTTGCATTCTTTTATGCCTCATAATGTATAATCCCAGTATTGAATAGTGGTTACACTGGAACTAGGACCAGGAGTTCCTTACTATTGAAGCTCCATGTGTAACATTGTGTGTGTGTGTGTGTGTGTGTGTGTGTGTGTGTGTGTGTGTGTGTGTATCTATATAACTCACCTTGAGCTCCTGTGGGGAAAGCAGCATCACTTTATTTATCTAATAACTAAATAGTAAATAAATAAGTTGTGGTTTATTTCACAATTTTATTTATTTATTGCCTGTATTAAAGCTCCCTTTTTACAACCCTGTAATCCCATACGTTGGGGTAGAGTCGGAGCAGCTGGATGGAGGTGAGCATGTATGGTCATATGCCCTTCCTGATGCCACATAGAGTTTGCAGCAGGTATTTTTTTATGCTTTGGAGAGAAACATCTGCAGCTACCTAGGATTAGGATTCCTCCTGAATGGGAGGAAAGCTTCTTCAACACTAGGCCATCTTGCCACTCACATCTCCATGCCACTCATTATTCACCTTTATTATTTTTACAAATAGCTCAAGTTGGTGAAAATAT